GGAAGACTCGAAGTTGGCTCTGTGGGGGCCGCAGGGAAGAGCCCAGACTGAGGATGGATCCTGGCTCGACTTAGCCACCACGGAAGTGCCGCCATGTCTGGGGACTAAGCACGGGTGTCTGAGCCCCAGAACGAGGAGGGCTGAGGGAGGCGCCTGGCAGGGAGGGTGGGTCATGTGTGGCCTCAGAGACCATGGTAAAACACCCATGCTTTACCTGGAGAAAGCTAAGTAGAAAAGGGGCTTGAGTAAGGTCACTCACAGGACAGGCGTGGGCAGGGCTGGAGTTGAGGAGGCCTTCAGGGCTCTGAGAGAACCCATGGCCAGGGTGAGGGTGGAGATGAGAGAGGTAGCCGCATGCGAGCAGTGTTTCTGGGGAAAACTTTGGGGGTGATGGTGATGGAGTGGACAGCAGGGCGAGGCAGATGGTGGCTGGCATTGGGACCCTGTGGATAAAAGGGAAACCCAGAGAAGTGGGCCCCGAAGGAGCTCGGTCCAGGACCAACATGGGAGCCGATGGTGCACCTGGGAGCTGGGCCTAGAGCTGGGCTTGAAGTAAGGATTAGGTTTAGAGGTCAGCAGAGAGCACATTCCAGGAGGGGAAGCAGCAGGACACGGAAGAAGAGGCAGGCATACGCTTGCCTCACACGCACAGAGTGGGTGAGCTCTGCTGGGAGGGAAGGGTGTGAGGTGGGAGGACTGGAGCTGGGGTGGAGCCTCCGGAGCAGTGGAGGGAGCTGCCTTGATGGCAGAGATAGTGGGACTCAGGTAGCTGCCAGCCAGCTATGAATCTACCCTTGGCAAGCAGGTCTATACCAGGGGAGGGAAGGCCATGGGCAAGTAGGCATACAGCCTATGTACCCTGAAAATAGGTCCACATCCTACTTTGAGAAAGAGGATGGTGTCAGAGGTTTGTACACAGAGCCTCTCAGGGCTCCATCTTCTCACTGGTTCCTCTAGATCTCACTGGCTGTTGCTACTTCATTCTTTTGAAAGGCTTCTGAAAGGCAGAGAGCAGGAAAACACAGAATTCTGCTCCCTCTCTTTTGTCCCTTTGCCCCTTCCTCTGGAGATTGTCCAGCTCAGCGGCTTCAAAGTATGTGTGTTCTACCTTGCGTCTATATTCACACAGCTTATCTCGCTGACCTGGCTCTTGATCTTAAGACTTGTGTTGTCAACTGCCCATCTGATCAGAGCTGCTTGAATATGAATCTCAAGTTAGACAGAAATTTCCAGTCCCTTCCAGCCAAACTCATTTCTATCCTAGTGTCCCCAAGCTGAGCACCTCCCAGTTATTATTATTATTATTTTTTTTTTTGGTACTGGCGATCAAACTCGGGTCCCTGCACTTGTGAGGTAGGCGGCGGAACCACTGAGCTAAATCCCCAGCCCCCCTCCCAGTTATTAAGGCAAAAATGTAAGTGGCACCTGTGATTTATCATTTCATGCTTAATCTGTCCATAGTCCAGTAAATTCCACTTTCAGACAGATCTTCATTACCACTCTTTATCAAGCCATCGTCCTTTCTCTTGGGCTGCAACCAGAGTCTCCTCGCTAGTGTCCCTGTTGTGCCTCTGTCCCCAGTGACAGCACAGCAACCTGTGTAAAGCACAGGCGGTAGGAATTCTCCAGAGGCCCCACAGCTGCTTCCTGCACATCTGACCCAGCATATGGCTCTGATGTCTCTGCCACCTTCGCCTTCTCCTCCTCTTCCCTCTGATCTCTGCTTGCCAAACACCTGGGTTTTCTATTTCTAGAACCCACCTGACCACCTTGTGTCCTCATTCTTAAGATCTTAGTTCTAAGCTATCCCTCCCTGCTGTCAGCTACTCATATCATACATTTTGTTTCGGACACCAGAAATTGTCCCGATTTATTGTCTGGCTTAATGTAGGTTTCATGAGGGCCAGATGTTTGACCTACTCAGCATTCTGTCTCCTACTCCTAGAAAAATAATACCAGGTACACAGTGGGATGAACAAAAAGAGATGTTTCAGCTGTGCTTCTTGATTTCCTGGAGAGAATGTGGAAAGTGCAGGAGGAGTTACCCAAGAGTACAGGATAGGTGTAACCGGGAGGAGAACAGCTCATCTGATGAGTTGGCATTGGCCAGAGTGGCGCTGGATGGTAACAGGCTGCCCCAGGATGGGAACCCTTGCCTAGGTGGACAGACACAGGGTGGTCCCGGGAACCTACCAAGGGTCAAGTGGAGAGCTGGGCAGTGCCTTGGGAAGACTGGTGGCTCATCCCCCCCATCAAAACTGGTCACTGCCTGGGCACTCATCCCCCATCGTGCGTGCTGTCCCTTACACCCATACGCTCCCTCCTGCAGAGCTGTGACTCTTAAACTTATTCAAATATTTCACGGAGGGCTTAGGGAATGGCCAACTGACTAGTCTCCAAGAAATTCCATGGACGTTTACAAAAAATAAAGTAGCTATAAAAACCCTGACGGTTCCCAATAGATCCTAATAAATGATGACGCACACAATGGAATATGACATTAAAGTTATTATTACAAAGTTCGGGTTATAACCCAGAAACTACCCATGACTATGATGTGTGAGCTAAAACACATGTGTGAACACGGAGAGCAGGACTGTAAGGTCATCACTGAAGGAGAAGAAGATGGGAAAGGCAGTTATCGTATCGCCTGGTGGGATTTGGGGGGCTTTGTCCTTCGAGTTTTCCAGAAGTTCTTCGAAATTAACTTTGAGAAACAAAACTGTTAGAGACTAGAATAGTGTTTGTGTACCAGAGCTTGGGAAGGGTACGGGGGATGAAGTGAGGAGGGTTAGGTCACAGGGCGCAGTTGGATGGGAGAAATTGAGAATGTTACACAGGATAACTGTGTTTGACAACAATTAATGGAATATTTCAAAATAGCCAATAGAATATTCTGAATGATCTCAACACGAAGAAATGTTATCAGAGGTGACAGAGGCGCCAATTACCCTGTCTCTGATCACTACACATCTTATACATGCACTGCACTGTAACACTGCACTCAATAAATATATACAATTACTATGAGTCAGCTAAAAATGAAAAAAGGTTTGGAAGAGAAACTATTCAAGTTAAATAGTAAAATAAGTATGATTTTATTAATATTAATATCAAATATATTAATAAAATTAAATATTAAAATTCCACATAAAACATTACATATCTTCCCATGGTTTTCTGTGTCCCAGGCGCGTGGCCTTTCCTCCCTGAAGGAGCTGGGAAAAGACAAGGGTCCAGGGGCACAGGCCCAGTCCTGCATACACCAGGTGAGGTGTGGAGGTGGTAGAGAAACAGCAACCTCAGTAAGCCACGCTGCGCCAGCCTGGGAGCTCGGTGTGCCACGCTAAGTTTATTCTCGCACCTCAGGTAAATACTTCTCACAGACAGAGGCTGAAGACTGACAAGGTCAGGGAATTTGTCTGAGGTAACCCAACTGACACCCGACAGAGCAAGGAGAGAAGCCCATCTGATTCCAAACCCGTGTGGGGAGCCACTCTAAGGAGGCCACACTGTTGGAGACACAGATACTAAACCTCTGTTTCCATGGTGTCACCTCCAAGTGTGAGCAAGTGAAGACCGGTCCCTGACCTCCTTAGCAAGGCATCCAGCAGAGGGGTTGTCCTGATTCCCGGCCTCCCTTTATGTAACATATGGAGAGCGGACCTGGCTGGCTGTGGTGGCACATACCTGTGATCCTAGCTACTTGGGAGGCTGAGGCAGGAGGACCACAAGTGTAAAGCCAGCCTGGGCAACTTGGCAAAGCTGGAGTTGCAGCTTAGCTCACTTGCCTAACATGTGAGAAGCCCTGGGTCTAATCTCTTCCTTATCCCCCCAAAAATAGTGGGCCTGGCTGACCAGACTCAGGGACCTCTGGAAAGGAGGTGGTCCGAGGGAGAGCGGGGGAGAGAAGCCTGCCTGGATCTTGAGGACATGTTCTTCGGGAAGGATAAGATGGAGCGGGCAGAGATTGGGAGAATGACACATCTCAAGCCGCTCTGAGTCACCCACACCACCCCTGTCAGCCGGGCCAAGGTGAGCAGGGTTCTCACGAGGGGCCCCCCAGTGGCTTTACTACTTTGTGTGCTGGACACTAGGATGCCAGTGTGAGGTGGGACCTCGGGTTCAGGTGAGGGGTGGCCCCACCAAGCCGGGGCCCAGGGGAAGCAGACGCTGAGGGTCTCTAGGAGGCAGGATGGGGGCATTGTAAGTGACCCAAAGAGCAAGTCCAACCCTGGCCAGCGGAAGGAAGTGAGGCTCACCTTGCTGAGCTCGGCCAGGGATAGAGGAATGCTGACCCTCAGATCGTGGGTGGCTGACACAAAGCCCCTGCCACCCTGGGGAGAGATGGGGGCAGATCTGGACAGCTGATTTCCTACAGCTGCTTCTGGGTTTGTAGCCCACTAAGTTTACCAGATGGGGCATATTGAAGGTGTCTCTGATATGCCTAGGACAGATTTGTGAGTGGAGTGAAATCCGTGCATATGACTCTCTCTAAGCCAAAAGTGTCTACACATACGACCCACCGTGCACTGTGCTGGACTCCGTGGTTGAGAACTGTCATGTGTCTGACTCCCTACTAGGTGCTTCACGTGTACATGATGACATCCATTCTTCCCAGTACCATATTCATTCCCAGAAAACCTGCCATCAAAGATTGCCCATCAACACTGCTGTGTGACCTTGGAGAGCTCCCTGGCCTCTCTGAGCCTCAGTTTCTTCATCCAATGCAGACACTAACCCCTAGCTGGGAGAGTATCAGGTATATAGAATGCCCTCGATCAAAGGTCACTGCTATTGTCAACAGATCTGAGCAGAGAGGAGTAGGGATAGGTAAGCGACGGGGTGCGGGGGAGACGTGAAGGGGCGCCTCCAGCAAGAGAGGGACTTGCGCCAACACCATGGCTTCACTCTATAGGAAAGCAGGTGATCTGATTCACAGTCATTGAAGTGGGGGTCAAATTTAGGCAGCCGGAGCCCCTCCCCAAATACAGACATACCTGAGAGCCACAAAGGGCCAGGGGATGCGAAGTTGGGAGAGGGAGAGCCTCCAGGGGCAGTGTGTCTCCGCACCGGCTGTCTTCTTCACCCCCTCGGGGGCTCCGAGGGACGAGCACATGAGTTCCCAGCTCACACTGGCCTCCCGAGGCCAGCAGGTCCATTCCAGCCTCGTCTATTCTGGGCTCAGGACAGTCATGTGGAGCTGTGGGACGGCGCGGCTCCTGGGGATTTCAAGGGGTTTTTGTTAAGAAAGTGACACCATCAGGGACCTGCTGAAGACAGGCCAGATGAATTATTAAGGAGGGGAAGGAGGCCGGAGTTTAGCCCAAGGAGCCGCCCTCTGGGGGGATTTCAAACAACAGAAATCCACTTTCGGGGCAAGAAAGTCTTGAGTAGAGTGGAGGGAAATTGGGCTAGGATGGTGCCCTGCAGGGGCCAGGCTCCGGAGAGCTCCTCCTTGGCTGCAGAAGCTATTTTTAAAAAGGTGAAACTCAATATGTCAACATCATCCGGGAGAGGAGGGAGCGAGGCTGGAGGTGAAGTAGCTAGGCTCCAGGCCAGGAGAGACACCACTCACTGCTCTCTCTTGACACCCCAGATCTCTGTCTGAGGACTGAAAACAAATACCTGGCCTTGGTTCCAAGCTGATGGTGGAGGCTACGGGCCAGAATAGAGTTTGGTAATCTATTATGTCTCTTATTTCAACCCTTTATCTCTCTCTCTCTCACTCTTCCTTTCTTCCTTTTTCTTTTTCTTTGGAGTACTTGGGATTAAACCCAGGCTTTTGCACTGAATAAATGCCCAGCCTTTTAAAAAAAATTTTGAGTCAAGGTCTCACTGGATTGCTAGTTGCCCAGACTGGGCTCAAACTTGTGATCTTTCTGCCTCAGCCTCCCAGAGTGCTAGGATTATGGGTATGTGCAACCACTCCCAGCTCAGCCTTTTGTTTGGTTTGGTAGATGTAATGTCTGGCAGTTCAGAGAGTGCGTCATATCTCTGCATTAGAAACAAAACATCAGAAATTAAAAACAAAAGCAAAACCTCTTTGTAGTCTGTGCACAGCTGTCTTTAGAAGTACATTTAAAACCCAGTATGGTGGTGCACTAGAGGCAGAGCCAAGAGGATCACCCCGAGTTCAAGACCAGCCTGGGTTACATTGTGAGTTGAAGGCGAGCCTGAACTACACAGTGACCCTGTCTCAAAAAAAAAAAAAAAAAAAAAAAAAAAAAAATACATAGTGAGTTCCAGGTCAGTCTCAACTACATAGTGAGACTCTGTCTCAACCCACCTCAAATAAATAAATAATAAAATAAAACAAAACATGTCCCTTTCTCTCTCTCCCTGCTGGCTCTGAGCTCTGCAGCACCCTTTCAAGTCGAGAACCTCCTTATCACTCCCCTGCCCCTTTCAAGACGCTCTTTACTGAGGCTCTGGTTGAATCATAGGCTGTCTCTGGTCTCAACAACCCCACCGGAAGGCAGGCAATGGCCAGGTCCACCCCCAGAATGCCTGGCAGTGAGGTGTGGCAGATGGGCAGAGGTGTCGCTGCCCTGTCTGTCTGTGTTACGGGGGGCGGGTCACTTGGATGATACCATTAATGACGATAAGCAGAGCCGTGTTCTCCAAAGCACACATCCAGTCCCCTTGCAAATCAAAAGTAGTTTGGAATCCCCCTGAGTAACTGCTGGCACTTCACGGGTTTTAAAACACTCTCACTTAAGTTGTCCATTCCTCTGGCCTCATTTCCAGTGCCAGGAGCAAGGCAAGAAGAGAAGGGAGCTGTGGTGGGATCTGAGTGCAGATGCTAGATGTGTGTGGCCATGATATTTAACTTTTATCTTGCCACAAAGGACAGGGGAAGCTTGAAACTGGAAGAAAAAGTGTTCTGTGGATGGAGATCTCTAATCTCCAAGTGCGTCTGAAACCAGGCTTCTTTGAAGCCAAAGGGGAAAGTCATGTTCTAGACCCAGAGCATGGGGGTTCTAACTCAGAGCACCCGGATGAGTTGGGGGAGACGGCAGACGGGGCGGGGGATGAGTGACTCAAATACCTCATTCCAGGGGGTCTTGGCCTCTTTATACTTGAAAAATAAATGTAGAGATTAGAATGGGGGAGTTTCAGACTTCTTAGGTAAATATGTTGGGGCTAATTGAGATGAAAGGAAGCCCTCTGCATCCTGCAGTGCACTGGTCACAGGGCTGAGCCTTCATGTTCTGCCAACCCCTTATGCGGGGCAGACCTGGGGCAGCACTGTTGGGCCGGAGATTTAGCTCAGTGGTTCCACCGCCTGCTTTGCAAGCTCAAGGTCCCGAGTTCAATCTCTGGTACTAGCACTGCTGGGCAGCTGGCCTGGGAGGTCCTCAGTCATGGACCTGGCCTAGTGCAGGGGTGGTGGCTGGGGCTGGGACCCCGACAGGAAGAGCCAAGGCAGGGACAGCACAGAGCGAGCAGAGAGCCAGCTGGATGGCCTTCCCACCTCCCAGACTGCACCTCCCTCCTGGCGCTCCTTCCTCCCTGCTCCTGCATGGGTCACATCTCCCTACGTGGCCTAGCTCCAGGGCTGCTCAAAGCCCAGAACTGCATGAGGGGTCACCTGGGGGTGTCACATACCCTGCAGATCCTTGGGGGGCTTAGGTGAGAGCAAGGGGCCCTTGAGTCATTCAGACTCAAGTCCCACAGGGTCTGAATGTGATTTTTCCTTTAGCATCCCTCCCCCCATACACTTTATACTAACAGTTGAACCCAAGGTCTTTGTACTGAGCTACATTTCCACCGCTAGGCTTGAACTTGGGATCCTCCTGCCTCAGCCTCCCAGAGTGTTGGTATTACAGACTGGTGCCACCATTCCCAGCTTAGGAATATTTCTAGAGGATGTCTTCAGGCCTAATATAACTTATTACCCTACAAAACTCACCTTCTTCCCACTAAAAATTGAGACAATCAAAAGAATTCCAACTCCACCCAAAACAAGGACAGTACTCCAACAAATGTGCTTCCACTGAGCACCGTGGGATCAGAGTCCACCCCCAGCTCCAGGGCCCCCAGCCCCTGGTCTCCAGAAAGGCCCTCAGAAGAGCTCAGTTGGTCAATTGGTCACTGCCAGCTGACTTCCCAGGGATCTTGGCAGTGCTGGCCTGGGCGTGTTCAAGCAGTGGTGTTCCCAGCAGAAGTGTGTGCTGAGCTTAAATACACACACAAGCAAACCTCTGCAACACACTCTCCCTGGAGCACTCATCTTGCTCTGCTCATTTCCCCTTGGATCATTTCTCCGAGGGGGGCCTGTGTCTGTGAGAGAAAAGCAAAGCCAGGCAGGGGTGATTTGCAGAGGTGACAGCAGCATCTCAGGATGACAGCCATGGAGGACAAAGGGAGCCCTTAATCGAGCCCTGGCACACTTGTCCTAATCATTGACTCTAATGTCCATCTTTTAACTTCTCCATTTTGTATGTATGTATGTATGTATGTATGTATGTATTGGTACCAGGGATCAAACTCAGGACCTTGCACTTGAGAGGCAGGCGGCAGAACCACTGAGCTAAATCCCCGGCCCTTAACTTCTCCCTTTTTTACAGCATTGGCGAAGTTTTAACTTCACCTTATTAAACATTATTATGAGCACACTACTGAACTTTTATCTGGAACATATTTCATGAAAAACACATCTGATTATAGGAAAGGAAAGTGGGTCTTGGGTGGGAAAAGGGAGGAAGAATATTCTTGTTTTATCCCAATTGTTTATAACAGGAAAGTATTTTTATAATTCTCAATAAAAGAAATAAGGGAAAAAGTATTTATCTGAGCAAATCTAATTAACCCAATTTAATTTCTTGGTAAACTTTCAATAAAACAATATCTAGCTGTTTCCAGTTTTTCCACTTGTTCTCTAAGATCAGGCTTTTCCCACACACCATGAAATATCACCCATTGTAGTTCACCTTGTGGTTTTTCTTTTGTGGCTGTTATTTCTTAACAACTCGAATTTTAATGAGAGCAAATTTTTTATCCCCCCCCCATGTGATTCTGTAAGAGTTTACCATGCGCAATTTTAGCTGTTCTTGGTTTTATTTTTCATCGTTTGCCCCTAAAAGTGCTATTCACTACAAATTGGACCAAGGATTGATCATTTGCTTTTACTTATTTGATTTTTTACTGCAAAAAAAATTGGTAAAGAAAAGGTATTTCCGCTAGTGGTGCACGCCTATAATCACAGCACTTGGGAGGCTGAGGCAGAAGGATCGCTGTGAGTTCGAGACCAACCTGGGCTACATAGTGACTTCCAGGTCAGTCTCAACTATGCAGTGAGACCCTGTCTCAAAAAAAACAAAAAAAACAAAAAAAAAAAAAGAAAGAAAAAAAGACATTTCCCATGGCATGACTAAGTGGCAGGATGCTTTATTATATTAATGTAATCATTTAGGACATGGAAAATCCTACAGATATAAAAAGGCACCCTCAGCTTCCAGGCTTTTAAAGGGAAAATGTGCTACATTAAGAAGGCATCTCATTGGGAAAGAGAAAATAGGCACATAGAGAATGGGTTGCCACACAGACGAGCAATAACATGCTGTTCCCCATAATGTCCCTTGGATTGGTGCTTGTGTTAGCCAGCTTTCCAACACGGAGACAGAATACCTGCAACAATCAACTTATGAAGAAGAAAAGTTCATCTTGGCTGATGGCTTCAGTTTAAGTCCATGGTCTCTCAGTTCTATTTCTTTGAGTCTGTGATGGTGTAGGACATCGTGATGGAGGTCAAACTGAAGAAAGCTTGTTCACTTCATGATGGTCAGGGAGACAGAAGAGGCCCAGGTCCCAGCATCCCCTTAAGGACATGTTCCCCAGTGACCTAACTTCCTTCCACTGGTTCCCACCTCCTAAATGTTCCACCACCTCCTCACAGTGCTACAGGCTGGGGACCAAGCTTTTAACACACGGGCATGGGGGACACTCACGGGCCAAGCTACAGAGTTTAAAATTACAGTTTGTAATTAGTTCTTGGCACATTAACTACTGAGATGTACAGGGTGATGTGTGTCTAGGTTTCAGAGGCTGAAGACTTACTTCACGAGTATTCCTTCTACATTGTGGACCCTTTAATTTTAGGGACATAAATAAAAAAAAGCTTTACAAATACAAAAATGTACACAAAATAACATTGTATGTTCTTTGCATGAACAATGGCTAGGGTTTTATATATGAGAACTCTCTTGTCTAAAACATTTATATATAGCAGGAAAGGAGAATTTGACAGAGTATAGTTGGCAAGAATTACTAGAAGAAATTAAATTGTTTCACATTTATCCCAGAATGAGCTGAGACTGGTTTGGTTTAAGAGAGCGGAGCCCCAAGGGACAGTAACTGCTGCTACTGCAATTTGGCTCAGGCAGGCTCTGCCTTAGATACTCCAGTTTCAAAGAACAAAAACCCACTTAAGCTTCATAAGTGGAGTGGCATGAATCTGTACTCCCAACAGCTGGGAGCCTAAGGCCAGCGGAGGCAAGATAATGAGACATTGTTTCAAAAAAGTAATAATTATGCTGACATTGTAATGCACACCTGTAATTCCAGAATTCTGGGAGGCTGAGGTGAAAGGATTGCAAGTTGAAGCCCAGCCAAGGCAAATTCAGTGATTTAGCAAGACCCTATCTTGAAAAAAAAAATTTTTTTTTAAAGGGCTGAGGATATGGATCAGTGGAAAAGGTCCTGGGTTTAGTTCCCAGACACACACACACACACACACACACACACACACACAATTGAGTTTTGCTCTTAATTTTCTTTGCTCTTAACTTTGTGTTTGCATTTAATTTTGTTTCAAAGAAGGGGAATAGGGTTTATTCAAAAGGAACTGACTGCCTGCAGCCATTGTCCAGCACGTCTCCTCCCAGTTCTGTGGAAAGGGCCCTGGGTGATATGAGGACAGACAGAAAGGCTGGGCGCAGGCTTCTCAGACTGTCCCTGATTCCACAGTGAACGGGGCGCACCCACCCAGGAAATGATGAGGGAGTCAAACGGGGTCATTGGCAAGCTACCCAGCTTTGCTGAGCTCTGGCGTCCTCGGTTGCAAATCAAGACCGACAGTGGGGACAGCAGCCTCACGGAAGTGTGCGGACTAAACCCCGACCCATCGCAAGCCTGAGTCAGTTCATCCCTTTCCTGCCCCATCTCCATCAAGGAAAGCGCGACTTCGACAACCCGGCAGGATACCAGAGCTGACGCCTACGAGCACTGTGGCATGTGCACTCGTCACAGCTCCTGAAATGACCTCAGTATCATTATCATTGTTTTTACAAAAATCAGATATGCTGTCCTTGTTGCATCCTGTGAGAGGGTGAACAGTTTGCCAGCTTTCCTTCAAGAGCCAGCCTTAAGAGAGATAGCACTTGGTGCCCCCTACATGGCCCAACTCTTAGGAGTTCATCACCGAGTAGGAAGTGGGGACGGCATTCCAGGGGCACAGCAGAAGTAGGGGGAAGGCAGCCCGGGTCAGATCAGCTGGACCTGCAGAGTAGGAACCCCTTTGTACCCTGCCTCCCTGGCACTGCAAGCCCTGGGGAAAGCAGCCATGACGCTGGTGTTAGAGGTGGGTCTGAGTCCGGAAGATGTGGCCAACCTAAGCCACCTTCCCTTTGGGGGTGGGGCCTGTGGTGTGTGCTCCGCGAAGTTCTCCTAGCCTACTGCTAGAAAGGGGATAAAAGCAGCCAGGCGCAGACAGTAGGGGCGCCTGGCCAGTCTACCCAGACTGTCCAGCCATGGGCAAAGAGAGCACCCTAGAGCTGGAGGCTCGGCTTCCGTCAGTGCTGTGCACCAAGAGCAGGGCAGTGCCAGGGGGACAGATTGTATTTTAGCAGTGACACCGCATGGCACTGAGAGCAAACACAGAGGCAGCTGACAACTTGGCAGAGGTGCAGCAGGGGTGGGTGTCAAATTGTCTTGAAATGACACTCAGGAGGCAGGCAGACCAAGGAAGAGGGCGACACTCAGAGAACTGAAGGGAAAGGCAGGTTTATCGCTAGCTAGTAGGCCCAGTGCAAGCCACCTTCCAGACTCTGAGCTCCGTTTCTAAGTTTGTTTTTGTATTTATCTGTCCTTTAGCCAAGGCGAGGGAACAAGCAGAATTTTACCAAAGCATAACTTGGCAAAGAGTAGGGTGGTGGAGGTAAAATTTTTTTTTACAGTTTATCTTTAAGACATAGGGAGGTAGGTAGCTGTGTTTCAGCAGTTCATCTTCTGGGCATAGTGACCTTCTCGAGTTCAGCAGGAGGGGAAAACCTTAGACCCTCAGCCCTGAGACTGTCGGACTCTGCCAAGCTTTGATTTTTCCATTTCAGTCTCTCCTCAGAACTAATGGCCAAGACTCCTGCCCTTGAAGTAGAAGTTAGAAGTCCATTAATTTGATAACTTAAGAGAATAGAACCACAGTGAACTCTGAGCTAAAAAGACTACATACATCATTACTCTGGGGGCCGTCATCACCCCCAGCAAAGGCAGGTTTCGGGGTGGGGGGGGACACCAACAGGAAGCTGCCACAACTCCCGACTTGAACAAAGCAGCCCTCTTCCCAGAAGAGACAGTGCCCGGCTGCTCGCCCTTTCTCTGGAAGAGAAGCCTCTCCCTTCTGCTACAGCCGAAGCCCCAGCCAGACACCCGGGCGCTCAGCAGAGTAGTCAGGGCTCTCTCAGTTGCAGGTAACAAGAACAGAGCTAGACGAGCTTACCCATAAGAAGCGACTCATCACCTCACCTTGCTGGGAAAGATGCAGGACCGACTCTCAGAATTAAAGAAGTGAAGAGGCTGTCAAGTTGAGGGAGGATGAACCTGGGATCAGAAGCTGCTAGGACTGTCCTGCTCCCATCTGCAAGCCCGGTGTCAAGGGGTGGTTTGTTCAGCAGGCGGGTTTTATCTTAGGAAAGGGCTCTGATCAGCAATATCCAGTGCCAGAGAGATGACACACTGAGAGGCCAGACCTGGCCACGCCCTCTCCCGGGGCAGAAGTCATCACCACCAGCGATGGGAACACTCCTTTGGCACGCACAAACCCAAGGTTACTTTGCCCACTCCCCCACATTTTTTTTTCCAAAATAGGTTTGTTTTGTCACTGATGAACTGATGCAATTTTATCATTTTGTTTAGTTTCTTAAAAATTGCCTCAGCACACATAAAAAAATGACCTAAGCACACATTAAAAATATGTTTGCATTTAAGAAACACGACACATGCCAGTCCTCTGCAAACACAATCCTTTCTCAATGTATTTTTCTATTTCGTTTCTTAATCTACAAAATCACAAATAAAACCATTGACTCTTCAAGCCAAAAAAAAATACACACAAAATTAAGAGTTTGAGGAAAGTGTTTTCTTTGTACAAACAACATGCCCTGGATGCCTTGTTTATTGTCAGCCCAATACTCCAAGTTCTCACTGTCTTCTAACTTGTTCTGACAAAAATACTTTTCAGTTTAATTGGCAAAGATACCATATATTGTATTTGAAAAGTCAAAACAGTTGAAAGCAATTTTTTTTTTAGTGGCAGAGAATGTGGCTATTTAAATATTGCTAAATCTTATTAAAATTATTCAGGTATCTGAACAAAAAGAAATGCTATTGAAGAGTGAATTCTTGCACTATCACTTAAATAGCATCTAACAAAGTTTAAATATGAGAAACAGTGACACCTGATTAAATCCCTATTAGTTTTGTGGGAAAAAATTCACTGAGATTCTGTTATAGAAACAGAACCGATTCTATCCTAAATTTTCTAAAATTTATTCTTGAATGATCACTTGGATAAGTCAAAACTTCAAGGGTAAAAATGAAGACAAATAAGGATTTTAGAAAGCCATATTTATAGTTCCTGATTCACATTTAATTGATTTTTTAGTGACTACAAATCTTTACTTCTTCAAAAAATATTATATTTGTTAAAATATACCACCTACCTACTGACTTGTTAAATAACCACTCAAGATTATTAGGTAAGCATTCCACATTCCAGTTACTTTTATGTCATAAAAGTACAAAGGATTTTTGCATGTTGGCTACATTTCATCTTTTTGTTTTTGTTTTTGTTATTTTGAGACAGGGTCTCACTATATAGTTGGGACTGACCTGGAACTCACTATGTAGCCAAGCTCTTCTTGAAGAGACCCTCCTGCCTCAGCCTCCTGAGTGCTGGGATTACAGGCATGTGCCACCATGCCAGGCTTGGCTACATTTCATCTTATACATTATTTTGTAGGCCTTTATAGGGTGTAAAGCTTTTAAACATTCTCAGTATTTCTATTAGAGTTAAGTGATTCAAACTAAAAATACTAAGCCGATCACTGTCATTACTTTAAAATTTTTAAGTTTCTAGAAGTTTTATTCTTTATTCTAGAAGTTTTATTCTCTAATGTTTAGAACAAGAATCATTGGTTCACACTATTAACTGTCCAAACTTAAAAAAAAAAACTAAATGTTTCTTGTTAAATAACAGATTACAAGACATGTTCTCTACACTCTTTATTTTAAAAACAAGATTCTAGCATACATAAGAAATCTAAATCAAAATTCACAAATGGTGGCTAAAATCCTGCCAGTTTTCAGCCTGTTACCACACAAATCCAAAGTTATTAAGCATAAACTATTCAAAATTCAAGTTTATAGTGGAAATGTCAACAGGTCCTGACTACTAGCCCTCCTTGCTGATGGTTCCACTATACTTCAACAGGCACAGGTGTGTATGCAACAGACAGATTATATAGAAAATTAAAGCTATTAGAGCCATAAATAAGTAATACATAAATATGAAAACTGTAATGCCAAAGCATTGGGGCCATTAAAAAAATGAATGAGTTGAAGAAAACACATCTGATAGTTCTCTCTCTAAGTCACTTTCCACTGATTTATAAAGCTATGGTTTTATAATTCTTCTTAAAAGGGAAATTTTGGGCCAGGCATGGTGGTGCATGCCTGTGATCCCAACACTCAGGAGGCTGAGGCAGGAGGATTGTAGTGAGTTCAAGGCCAGCTGGAACTACATAGGGAGATCCTATCTCAAAAAAAAGGAAATTTTTTTCTACACTGCTGCATGCAATAATTTCACTGTACATTCCTGACTACAATGCAATCTTCAAATCCTCTGGTAGAGCTTGGCGTAGTATGTCCTCAGGATTTCTCCAGAAAGTCAGCTTCTCATGTTTTCAGCAGACTTTAGTCCTTCAGCCTCCTTGCAAAAACCCTTAATGATTGGTGATAAAGCTTCTGGGTTAATGCCTCGTTCACAAAGTCATCCACGGATACACAAGCTTCTCTATATACACCAATATTCGAATGTTTTGAAATCTCAAGCAGAACGTCCATGGTCTCTCTCACCACGGAGGTTCCCTGCTGTTACTCGCCATGGCCCAGGCCAAGGGAGGCACGAGAAGGCCTGACCCAGAAGTGGATGCTTTCCGTTCTCCGGGATGGCCCACCACACGTCCCCACATTTTTAGTTAGAAAATGTTTGTGGTGGCGGTGGTGAGTAAACCCAGGGCCTTTCACTGAATTACATCCTTAGCCTTTTTTATCTTTAATGTTGAAATAGGGTCTTGCTAAATAATTCCTGAGTAGCTGGGATCATAGATGTGAACCACAATGTGTAAGCTTTTTCTTTCCTTTTTAAGTAAACTCTTAATAGAAGCTTGATGTACATATGGAAAAGCGCATGGAACCTAAGTGAGCAGCTGGGTAACTCTTTACAATTTGCTATGGTTTCAATGTTTGTCATCCTGAATTTGTGTGTAGGAAACTTAATTACCATTGTCATACATTAGTGGTATTTAAAGATGATGGAACCTTGGGAGGTGATTGGGTAACAAGAGCTCTACCCTCAGGCATAGATTGATCCATTCATGGGTTAATGGATTACTAGGTTGTTGAGTTGTCTCCACAGTGAGTCTGTAGTAAAAACCAGACTGGCTGCTTTGGGCCTCTCTTGTATGGGTCCCTGTCACTATGTGATACCCTGTACCAACTTGGGACTCTATGGAGGCCCCAACAACAGGAGGACCCTCACTAAATACTTCTCGACCATCAGAGCTGTAAGAAAAAATATTTTCCTTATAAAATACCCAGGGCGTGGTGGTACACACCTGTAATCCCAGCACTTGGGAGGCTGAAGCAGGAGGATCATTGTGAGTTCGAGACCAGCCTGGGCTACATAGTGAGTTCCAGGTCAGTCTCAACTACATAGTGAGACACTGTCTCAAAAAACAAACAAACAAACAAACAAAAAAACCCAGTCTCAAGTATTCAGTAGCACCTTGATCAATGAATAGAGCATTGCCAGGGCCCAGAACCCTCCTGGGCTTCCAGTCACAGTTTCCAGGGCCCTGCAAGGTACACCATCCTCATTTCCAATACCATAGTTCATTTGATTAGCTTTGGAGCTCTCTGTAAAGGCAGTTATTTGGGATTATTCTTTTATGCCTGACCTGGCTGGCATGATGGAAATCTATCCCCAGTGCTGCGTATAATACAGCGTTCATTCCCATACCTCAGTATCTCATCTCACAAGTCCATCAAAATTTATTTATTAATTTTACTGTTGAAGGACATCCCAGCCACAAGAAGAAATTCCTCAGTGCCACCCTAACTGGGACAGTACCACTAAGGCCTCATGTAGGTGTTTATGCCTTTGAATTTTGCTGTGAGTTACGTCCTCTTGGAGTTTTCGTGTAAATGTTGGTTACTAATCAAGGTCACCTCATGAGTTTTGTTTTGTTTTTTGGTGCCGGGGATCAAACTCAGGACCTTGCACTTGCAAGTGCCACTGAACTAAATCCCCAGCCTGCTAGATTAGTTTAAGAAAACATACTGTAGAGTGCTTCACAGAGTGATGCATATGCTCTATGCTTGGGGCTGTTACCCTTTCCTCCCCACCCTCACCCCCACTTCTCCCACTCCACCCCTTCTCCCACTAGTGGGTGGCGCTGTCCTGGCAGAAGTCAATTCACAACACAGCCCCCTGGTGGCAGCCATCTGAAACGCAACCTTAACTCACAAGTTAATGGCGAACTTTTCAAACCAGGCATTGTAGCTAGTGTCACGCCCAGGATGTCCCTTGCACTGGAACCACTGATCATTTATGTACATAAAGATGCTTCATCTCTGTGGATCCATATCTAACCGGGATGCAGGTCCATATTTAAAATGATTTTATAAATTTAAAAGTAACAACCAGCATCTTTCAAGTCCTCACCCTGCATGAGGTCACCTGCCAGGTCTTTCCCCTGAAGTATTCTGCATTGTCCTTCCAACAGTGCTGCGGAGAGATTACTGTTGTCCCCTTCAGAGTCGAGGAAAGAGGTTTAGAGAAGCCCAGTAATCCTCTCCGGGTGCCCAGGACCGGGACTGAACTGTAGCCTGCCCCCACCATCGTGACCTCTGCCCTCCTGCTCTGGGTGCTCCTTGCTCTTCTTCAGGATGTTTCTCACAGACCAGCCCCTTCCCTGAGCAGGCTGAGAAGAGCTCAGACTTTCTCCAAACGCTCTGCTATGAGGCAAGTTCTCCCAGCCCCTCTTCCCCTTTATTCTCACAACGAGGACAAGTTGTGCTTTGGACAAAACCTTGGTCAGGTCACAGTGTGATGGGTGGGTTTGAGACACATCTTCTTGCACCTGGGAAGCATCAGGTCAGCCTGTCCTCTGTGCCCAGTCACTGCTCACTGACAGGTATGAGATAAGAGGACCAACTTGTCCCAGCCTGCCCAGGACCTTCTTCATTTCTCCACTGACCTCCCCCGCATCCTAAGAACCCCTCAGCCCCAAGCCAGTCCAGACCCCTTCACTGGGAAAGTCAGAGTCCTGGACTCTCCGAGTGGACAAGAGATGTTAGGTTCCCGGGCTTGTGGCTCTTTGGCCCACCCGGCAATGACTAGAGCTGCGACTG